CCATGTTGTGAGCAGCAGCAGTAGCAGCAGCAGCCCTAGCCCTAGCCCTGGAGGAGTAGTAGTAGGAGGCAATGCTAATGCCCAAACAGAGAGCAGCAGCAGCAGCAAGATGGGACTGAGTGCCCCAGAGATCACAAAAGCAGGTAACATGGGCAGGGGTGGGGGGCTCTGAGGGAGAGGGGCCCTCCCCTCCCCCCACTCCCCAGCTCCGGCTGCCTCCTTCCCTCACTGCTTTCCCCCCTTTTCCCTCTCTCCTCCTTCTCGTTGTGGTAGGAGCGGGAGTGCAAAGGGTGGTATCGATCATATGGGGGAGAGCCTCCCCTCATCATGCCCCCTCGGTGTGTATCCGCGCCTCTGCTCCCTCCCCTTTATTTTCCCTCCTCGCTTCTGCTTACTAGAGGGTGTTTTATCATGTGTGGGGGCAGCCTCCCCGCAGAATAAGCCGGCAGTGCCCGTCCATGACTCTGCCGGTCCCCTCTTCTTTTCCTGCCCTTGTTGCTGGAGTGTAAAAGGGCTCTCTCAATCTCGGGGGCTGAGGGAGGCAGAGCCCACCCCCTTGGTAATGGCTGTGCCTCCCATGCCGTCTGTGACTGCTCCCCTTCCCTTTCCAGGGGTGGAGGTTATGGGGGGGATTCCCTCTTGATAATGCCGCCTTAGCTGTCTGTGTAAATGCTCCTTCCCCTCCCCCTTCTCTGTTGCTGAAGTGCAAGGGGGTGTTATTAATCATGACACCTATTTCCTGTAGAGGAGGAAGCGAGGGGGGATTTCAAGGGGAGGAAGTCCCTCAAAATGCTTCCCCCCCATATCTGCCTGTCTGGATATTCCTCCCCCACCCCCTCCCTTGTTCCAGGGGCTCGGAGGGGGCATTCAACACCTCTCATTCCTCCTCTGCCCTCAAGGGGGTGTTGTCACAACACCAGGTCCCAGGAAGGGGGGGAATTCAGGCCACAACACCCCACCTTGTACAATGTCTTCTTCCCCCCCTTCCCCCCCCCCCCCCCCCCCCAACCCGCGGAGTGGATGGCTCCTGCCAACTTGGGGATCCCCCCCTCTTCGTGTTGTGAAGATTGTAGGGGGATAGTGTGAAGGCTGGGACTAAAGACTCACTACATGAGAATGGAGGGAAGCTGTTTTTCAGGGGAATTAAAAAAAATGTCTCCCCAGAATCTCTCTGCAATTCCTCCCCTCCCCCCCTTTTTTTTTTTGCTTTCTTTCTTGTTGCTGAAGTGTAAGAAGATATTGCAGACCTTCTGTCATGATTAATGAAGCTCTTCTAGGAGGATCTCCTTAACCCTTATAACATGCATCTCAGTATCTGTCTGTCACTATTCTTTTCCAATTTCTGTCTCCTTAGGGCCAGGACCTGGACTGTGTGTGATTGTACTTGTGATAACACCAGGCCTCATCAAAGGGCACGAAGATTATTCAGGACAAGAAGCTACATCATCTTGTCCCTTCTCAAAACCAGCTTTGCTTTTTTTTTATTTATTTTTAACTATCTCTGGCTGAGGGAACTTCAGATCCAGAAGAACAAATTCTGTAATAAAGTGGAGGGGTCTTCTGGTAACCTACTCCAGGCCTTGCAGTACTTCTTATCTTGCTAGGCTGATGTTTTTCCTTTCACTTTTTCATATTTTGCTGTTGTTGAGCCTTCTGATCTAACTGACGTACTCTGTAGGAGATGAAAGGATTAGAGGGTAACGTGTGCTGGGCATAGGGAATATGTCTTACTAATGTGTCTTCCATTGCCATTTTTCCCTCCTTGCAGTTGCAGTCCTGTTGCTAAATGTGATGTCAGGTTCTAGAATGGGGAAGAGGTCTAAGGTGATCTTCCTCCTCCCTTCCCTTGGTTCATATCAAATCTGTTTTCCCTATTTTGTCTTGCTGTAGAGTTGAAAGCAGGGCTGTTACAATGAATATTGAATCTGTCAGTCTTGGGTGGGAAATTGGAGGCTTCAAGATGATGTCTTCAAAGCCATCTTCAATTTGTATGTACTCTGTCCCGTTTTCTTGGCTCCAGGCAGGCAGGCTGGGAGATGGAGAAGACTTGGTGATGAGGGTGAACATGCTGTCTTCGCTGGACTTCTCTTCTTGCTCATTCTCTCTGTTTAACCTTGTTGTTGTTTTGCAGGAGCAGGAGGAGTGCAAGGGGGCGTTATTAATCATAACACCAGGTCCCAGACTTCAGCTCTGGATGGAGCCACCACAACGAGCACCAGCACCACCACTGCAGCAGCAGGAGGATCTGAAGTCACTGCTGCTCCAGGGACCCTCAGTCAGGGCAAATCGGTGGTTATCAGCACCATGGCAACTGCCTTGTCCACCAGGAATGGCAAGATTGGGACCACAACAGTGCAAACTCTGAATGGGAGTAACGTGGTGATGAACTCTCACCACACAGGAAGTGCTGCTTTCTCTGGGACTCCTGTGACTGCTAACCCCGCTTCTGCACCTGCTGTTGCCCCTCTCGTTAACAATGGACCTGGATCTGTGGGGAAAGGAAATACTGTTAATGCTGTTTTGCCATCAGCTTCCAACACTGTCATCCAGACTTCTTTCCTTAATACTGCTGTGTCCTCTGCATCTTCCTCCTCGCCCACAGTTATCTCCTCGCAGCCACCACCAAGCATTGGAACTGGGGCGCCTACGGTAACGCTCGTGAGGCCACCGATTCACACAGCAGGACCCACAGTAGCTGCAGCTGGTGCAGCCACTCAAAATGGGAGCAATACTGTGATCAATTCAACCATCAGTGTGGGGAGTTTTCCTGCTGTTGCTACAGCCACTGTGGGATCTGGAGTTTCCCTCCAGACATCGCTTGTGAACAGCCAGTCTGGTTCCACTGTGTCAGCAGCTCCCGCCACACAGGTCATCAAATCTGAGTCTCCTAAAACTATAGTCCAGGCAGTATCCCAACAGCAGACACTGGCTACTGGTGGCCAGCCCAGTACTACAGGGGGTAACATGATTATTGGGCAAACTATGCAAGCTGGGCTCTCCAATGTTGCTCCCAATCCTGGTGGGATACCTCCTGCAGCTCCTGGCACCCCCACAGGAATGGCTAAAGGCACTGCCAATACAGTGGCACAAAGTCTGCCAAGGACTCCAACAGCAACTACGAGTGGAATCAGAGCAACTTTGACTCCTACAGTTTTAGCACCTCGTTTGCCTCAGCCACCTCAGAATCCAACTAACATTCAGAATTTTCAATTACCACCAGGTAAGTAAGAGGATTGAGGTGTTTTATTTTGGAAGTGTATTTCTTGCAGGAAGGAAGGTATCCAAATAAGATTTCTTGCTGTTTAATTGTGAATTGTGGAAAAGGCATTACACTTAACAATGAGAATCATCTGGTTTTGAGTAGTAGAATAGTAGCATTCCACTACTTAGCATATGATTTCGGGTGACCAAAAAGTCTCTTCAGCAGTAATAATTTGAAAATAATTCTGCCTGGTATCTTTCTGAGTGTAGATGAAGCTGCAAGCTGTCAAAGCGTGACAATGGAATATTATCAAATGAAGTGTTGCTATTTCATTTTCACGTAAGGCATTTTGACTTTTAAGGCGGTTTTGTCAGAAGTTCATATAACCTTCGCGTGCTGTTCGGTTCCCTCTCTGTCCCTGCATGCCCCCAGTACCACAGAGTACTCATGAATAGAGAAGCAGCAGATATGACACAAGAAAACTACCTTCTTTTGCTTTAAATACCTTCAAAGCCTGACTTAAAAACTCACAGATTTGAAGCTTATGATGATCTTTTTAGTCACTGGAGTTCTGATACAAAAGGCAGTCTTCCTATGTCCTTACCTCACCCTGTTGTGTCTAGGGTTGCAGCTTTTGTAGTAGCTAGTCTCGTGCTTAGTGCTGAGTATCTCTAGACAAGGAGTCTAGTCCTGAACTCAGTGTGTGAGTAAAAAGCAGGATGAGAAGCATTTCTTTTCTGAGAACTATTTTGTCCCCCCTTAAATATCCTAGATTTGGAGATTCAAGGTTATATGTCTGCTATTATTTTGAACCAGGCTTGTACTTGTATCCAGTTTCATTTTTAACTGAAAATAGTTGTGTGAACCTACACATAGTTTCCTGTCTTTTTAATAATATATAGTAATAGCTGTATTCTTACTATTCACTGTTTTCAGGGCAGTATACAAAGAACAATTAATTAAATTTTACTACTAGTACTGAATAAAATCAGTGGTGGTTGTGTATCATCTATTTCAATTGGTCTTAGTAAAAATACATCTACTGAAAACTCCTAACCAACCTTAAAGCAATGCACCTGTCACAAAAGGTAGATCAGAAACCGTACTGTGTTACTACACACCATCTTTTTGTGTAATATACTATTTATGGTATGTGATGCCATGTAGTTTGATGAAGTCTGTCAAACATTCTGTGTATCTAAGTTCTAACTGGCCTAAATATTCCTCGGGGTTTTTTTTGTATAGAAGATTATTGCCTGTATGAGTAATTTGAATGACACATGTGGCTAATTTAAAAAATAGCAGTAAAACTCAGACCTTGAAATCCCAGTGCTTAATTTGAAGCTTGTAAATTGATAGGCTGGAAAAGCCTTATTTATTTATTTATTGTCACAGTGTATCAAAGGATTTTTCAGGTTTGCAGTCTATTGCCATGTATACCTACATTTTCACTAATGCTGCATTATAAACCTGATTATGGGAAAAATACTACTGTTGAATCCAGTGGGACCTTTTTTCCAGGTAGCTGATGTTCTCAAACTGCCATAGCATGCTGAAATGTGTTACTCTTAGAAGCAACGTTGCCAGTCCTTAAGCATAATTGGACCATAAATTGCTCCTTTGGAGGTCTTGATAGATCAAAGTAAAACAATATAGGTTCTAAACACTTGAGGTTTTTTATTAAGCACTTTTCTTGTCTGTCCTACACTTTAAAAAATATTTATAACCTCAAAAGAATAGCATGACTTTTAAAATAAGCAAGTGTACAAGGCTGAATACATAGCAATTGGAAGTTGGGTTCTTGCATGATGAGACAGACTTAATGTTGGAAAGGGTTTTTTTTCAGTGGAAAACAGATTTTTTTTTTTTTTTTAATGGCTTTGGTTTACATTTTTATACCTTGCGAAAGTAGCCAACTTTGAAAATGTTTTGCCTAAAGCATTTCTTATAGAACGCTTAAGAACTGATGGATGTTGAGCTCTTACAAACATCTCACAGGTGCAAGGGCTAAGCACCTCTGAAAGTCTAGCCACATGCAACTGCTTTAATCTTTAGTAGAGTGCATATACAGTCATAGTGAAAGGAGAATAGATGACTATGCTTTTGAAATTGTATTTCAAATTACAGTGTCATAGGCCAGATTTTTAAAGGCAGTTTGGTAGTATGAAGCTGCAACTGCAGTGCTTGTATGCTGTGCATCTACTGTGTGCGTCAAATTTGCATGTGCAAGTTTATGTTTTTAAAAGTGCTAATAAGAATTGGTAAGACTTAGTGCATGAAATAGCTTGAGATCATACACTGCATCTACTGTATGCGTCAAATTTGCATGTGCAAGTTTGTTTTTAAAAGTGCTAATAAGAATTGGTAAGACTTAGTGCATGAAATAGCTTGAGATCATACACTGCACATGTTGCTTTTTACACCAAGATTTACAAACACTTGGAAAGAAAATTCTTATGGAAGGTTTGACCAATAAGCAGCACATGTGTTTTATAGTTATTTTCTTACCCTGAATTACTGTTTCTAGCTCTCCAAAATACAGTTACAGTTTCACATGTATGGGAAGCAGAATATAAAATGTAAGTGTTATTAACCTGGGACTTGAAAATTGGAAATCTTGAAAGGTTTCAAATGTTCTTTTAAAAAGAACATGGGGAAAATAAGCTCTATCAACACTCTTTAAAATATATTACTTTTAGAATAATGCTTTGTATTGCATCAAGGCGATTGTGCAACAAACATCGACTTATCAAGTTAGAGATGTTTGAAGAGCTAATGGGCTGTAGTTGTTGTGACCTTACTGGATTCTGGTATATTGCTTCTCAAAGAAACTGGACTGTTCAGAGCAACTGTGCATTAATAATGGTTTTCCACTACTGACATCCCTGAGGAAGAGGATTATTGCACTTAGTCTTTTCTTCAGGAGCCTGTGTTTGGACCTTTGTGGTCCAGTTGGACAGATCTGGGTAATGAAGGTCCAAAAATAACTTTATTTATAACTTCTTAGCAAAGACATGAAAATATTGTCAGAAAGTTTTGTAGGGAACAGGAACACAAGTTTCTCTTTATACAATGCTACTTTAAAGATGCAACATCTTTTGAAACTGTGACTGAAAATAAATTGTATGAAGTTCTTTGTTTCGGAGTACTTCAAGCAATAATATGAAATGTGTTACATACAATAATATGGTAAGAGGTAGGAAAATTGTTGAGTTTGTTAAAGCATTAAGTCAGTGTTCTGCTGTTACAGATGCTCAGAAAAGTCTGCAGAAAAGCGTAACTGAGATTATGCCCTAAGACTAATCTTTTGCAATGTAAGAGCTCGGACAGTGTTTAGAGGTCATCGCTGACACATCATCTTGTAAAATGACAAAACTTGTGTACTTCAAAATCACTTTTCAAAATACTATCTTCTCCAGCAATGCTATAATACAGTTTCAAAACCAACGTCTATGATTATGCTTACTTCAGCAGTATTGTCAACTTGGGTGTTCAAAGATTTGGTTTCTGTTCTTGCAGGTGCTTTCTCTTCTGCTTTATTTTTATGTACAAGCATCTCATAATAAGCCTTTATGGTGCTTGCTTAAAGAAAGGAGCAGATTGGAGAGAGTGCTGTAGGTATAGAGTAAGAACAATATAGAGCTGGTAGGTCTGGACAGTTTTATCTACTAGCTTAGGTGAAACTGAAATCTAGAAACCTTCACTTCGCTATGTTCCCCTCTTTCATCTTCTGAGTGAATGTTAGTACTTACAAAAATTTGCTAGCTTGATCTTAAAGACTAACTTTTTTTTTTCCTGAATAAACAAGATTCTGTTACACTCAGTCCTGTTTGAGGATAGCAGGATAGATTGTCTTTATAGTTTATGTAATTTTTTTTACTTCTGCGATCATGACCAGTATTCTCATTAGCAGTAATGCAGTTGTGCAGCTGTAGTAGAACTGCTATCACAGATTTGTTTTGCTTTGCATCTAATAATAAAACTTCTTTATTACTTTCACAAAACTCACTTGAATCTGCCAGTAGCTGATGATAGGGGATGAGACTAGACTTCTTCATCGCTTTCTTTCTGGAGGCGTCTCATGTGCCACTTCTGTGGTGACTACAGGATGGGCCGTTTCCCAACTGTGGAATTGGCTGGGCTTCTTTAAAAACTGAATGTTCCAGAGTTCTGAACAGTACTAACAGTTGGTTTAAACTTACTGTTGGTGCTTTCTAGAAGCAAAAGGTACCTGGAAGAACATTGGTGCTGTACATCTGGAGACCCTGGAGGATGGACTACATCTATTTGCACGTTCAAGGTTTTCTTCATGGTCTTACAGGCTGGAAACTTCACTTGGTGTTAAATGGAAGCTTAAGTTTTGTAGAAACTGATGATTTTTAGCTTGTGTTGGCTATCCAAGAAGGATTCTAACTTAGGCCTTGATTATAGTGGCTTTAGGATTGGGAAACTACCTGAAGACATACTTAATTTAAAGCATGAGTTCAGGTCCTTTTGACTTGAGCTATCATACTTTTTGGAGCTGGAGTCACTGAAAAATAACTTCCACGGGAGTAGTTCAGTTTCCTTCAGTAAGGAGTTCAGGTGCTAGGCTGTCGGGCAAAAGAGAGCGCATAGAAAAAGGAGAAAGGCAGCAGGCTGAGAAGAATCAGACAATCTTTTCATTGTGAAACAATTTGTGTTACTTTTTCCATACTGAATGTGGCATTCTTTGGGTTACTTTGTACTTGTAACATGTACCCCAGAAGTGCCTAAAGTAACTAGGAATATAAGTAGATGAGGAAGTCTACAGACTTCTATAATACAAGAAATATAGAAAGGAACAGAAGAAATACTATGAAGTAGTGGAATGTAGTTGTTTCTATTTCTCACTGACTAGCAAGCAAGTTCAAACATATCCTGATTATAGTTTCCCTGTATGTTGCATGTACTGCCAATATTATGCCTGTTAACTGGCATGGCTGTATTTTGTTAAAAATAGTGTCTGAAATGCACAGTGATAATAGGAGCTTCTCATA